GGTGGGGGGCTGCCTGGGCCCTTTCCGACGCCCGGCTCCCGGCTGACGGCACGCCCGGGTCTCGGCCTTCCTCGGGCACCTTCTCCGTCCTCACGGCGGACGACCGCGGGCCGGGGCCGAAGGCGGTGGCGGCGTGGTCGCCGTCCCCGCCGGTGAGCTGCAGCAATTCCACCAGGTCGCTGCTGTCGCCCCTCCACCACCAGAGCTTCCGGGTTGACGACGCCGACGCCGACGGGGAGGACGAAGGGGAAGTGTCCGAGGATGCGCACGACTCGGCGGCCCCGGGGCCGAGCCCGGGAGGAGTGCAGCCGCAGGCGTGCGCCAGGTAAAGCCGCGCCCAGGACCCCGCAGGCNCCATCCCTATATTCAAATCATGTTCTCATACCTCTTGGACCAACCCAGTCCTTCGAGAAATCCACCAGAGAGAGAGAGAGAGGGGGGGGGGGGGGGGCCTTTTTTTTTTTTTTTTTTTGCAGAGTCCTGGGCCAGTTCTTACAAAAGACCTCACATTTTCTATGATTCCTAATCCCCTTTCACACAGAGAACATGATGATGGCTACAGTGTCACCCCCCCAGAAAAACGTACCCAAGTCTCAAACACAGCATTTTGCCACCGTTTCAGGAGCTGTATGAATACTCAGAAGTCTTATTGTGGGCACCGGAGCGCTTGTCCAAACCCTACGGCACCTCAGTAGTACCTGTAGTTATTTTGGAAAAAATTAAAAAATCTGATTGCCAGTGAAGTAGATTGTCATGAGCAGCATGGTTTTTATGTCACAAATAAGGAGATGAAGCAGAGAGGTTAACAGTGTCAACCTCGTCATCCAGAGACCACGTTGGGTCAGGTCTGAGCACTGAGCAGCGGAATAGAAGTTGAATTAGAGACTGTCAGAACCGAAGAGATTATTAAAAGCACCGTAACTTGTTTGTTTCTGCAGTTATGCTTTCGGCAAACATTTAGTTTGTGTCACACGTCAGCCTGCATCCCGGAGGACTATAAACAAGATAAAGCATGGTCTCTGCTCTCATGGAATTTAAGCCTAGATCAGGTTGCTCATTTTACAGATAATAAAACTGGCTCAGAATACCAATAAGTCTCATTCAAAGGCATACACCCGGTTATTTGCAGAGCTGGGTGGGCCTCGCACCAAGCTGTAGTGATTGTGTTCTCTCTCCCTTGTTCTAGATCCCTGTTACTGGATATATGGGAATAGGAGCAAGGGGCCTATCCCTGAATATATTTTTCTGAGGCAGGCATAGTGGTGCACGTCCAGTCTGGGGCAGGCTCATTTTGTCATGTTCAGAAAACATTTACAAGTTTCTGATTGTCCATCTGTGTAAGGTGTACAGGAGATCTAAGAAACACAGACCAGAAGACCCATGCTTTATGTTTAATCAGCACGATAGTCCCCTTCATATACGGCATTCATAACCAGAGGGCATAGAACAGGGAACCACATGAAGTGACTCTGATACACAGTTACAGCAGTGAGACTCTTAAGAATGAGAAGTACATTGGTGGGAATGGAGATCAGTAAGAGGAACCATTAAGCCACTTGTCCAGACTGGTTGTAGCAACAAGAAGCAGCCTTTGATCAACCTGATGGTAGAACTAATGGTAGAATGAGACGTTCCGGAATTCATTTTCATGCGGGCCTTTGTAAGGATTCTTCTGCGCTGAGTTGGTTCCAAAGATTTTTAAAATAAATTTCAAGGCTTTGGAAAATACTTTCTGAGCCTAATCAACAAGACAATGTAGACACAGCTTAGCAGCCTAAGGGCTGCTGGGGGTCAAAACCACAGCTCAGCTACTGAGACCTTTCCAAAGCCCTGACCAGATGTAGCTTACTAGAGGAGCTGGACAGATTTATGTCACCCCTTAGCCAAAGCCTGAGTGAGCTGGTGGCATTCTAGGGCTAAGGCTGCCTTCCTTACCACAGTTCATTCCCTGTGATTCAAAGGAATGGGTGGGACGTGGTCTGGAAAGAACACAGGAGTTGTCAGGCCTCGTATGTGGCACGTGTGAGATGCTTATTTCGGTGCTCAGTAAATGTGTGCTGACTGCATGGTTATTTCCCACTTACTGGAGAACAGATAGATGCTGTGATTGTTTTCAAATGCTTCAGACAACCTAGCACTTCTTTTCAGGAAGGATAAATGTTGAAAAAATTTCCTCATCTCTTCTCCCTACTTCTAACCTTAAGTTGGTGCCCTGGATAGTTTGGGGATGATGGGGTGAGAGCAGGCATCGTGAGTCATAGTCCAGCCATAGTTCTGGGTCATGAATATCTTCTCTGTGGACCAGGGAGTAAATGTAGAGCTGCCTGGGACTTGATGCCTTTTCCCATCCTTCACCTGCTACGGTGATCTGACTGTAAAACTTATAGGGTAAGGCTTTTTTGAGCTAGACTCAGGCATCAGCTGCACATGATGGATGTGAACTCACGGTATGTTAGGTGTAAATAGGGCCATGCTTAGAGGATACGTTGACCTTCCAGTGGACTGAGGTAAAGCTCACAGTTGACTTCAGACAAGATAATGAGAAGTATTTTCCTGGAGTCTTTTATAATATGTTTTGGGCCTGCTGTTTATTGAGCTTTATCCTGGTTTTTATATCACTCTATCCATTAGGAAACCCATGTCTTAATAAATGTTTTGGTCATAAACAGCTGCTTATCAAGCCTCTCTTGATTATGGATAGAGCTATTGTGTATATGCCAAACATTTTGAACACATTTATTAAAAATGTTAAGGCAAGAAATTTAATATTTTAAAGTGTCGTTTTCCAAAAAACATTGATCTCACTAATTTCTTCTCTCAACAAACATTTCTTAGGAGCCTACTATATTCTAGGCCCTAAGGTAGACTCTTGAAATAAAGAATGGGTTAAGACATGTTAGGAATTCACAGCCTATGGCAGAGATGGACAAGTGACAGAAAGCCCAAGGTGCTTAGTCCAGATTTTTTGCAGAGAGTTTCAGTATGAGGCAACAAGATAATGCCTGAGTTGCATCTTGAAGGGAGAGTAGGAATTAGCCATGCTCCTCCTCCTCCTACTTCTAAATGACATGTACCAGATGTTTACTGCGTGCTGGGAACTGTACTCAGTGTTTTAGCATGGACTGTCTCACCCAGCAGTAACTGAGGTAGCCACTGCTGTTATCTCCATCTTACAGATGAGAAATGGAGGCTTAAAGAGGTTTAAAAATTACACTAAGAAGAAGCAAGTAGGGATTCACCTCAAATGTTTTACTCCTGTACGTAAGCCCTTACTTTGGCCATGTGCGGAGGTGGAGGAGAGGACTTCAGAGTTTTAGGCAAAGCTGCAGGGCACCAAGGACATGGCACGTTCATCAGTCTGCCTAAGTTCAAACAAGACTGAAATGCAGAGTCTGGATCAGCCATTGGTGAAAGAAGAGGCTGAAAAATAGGCAAGGGCCCATTCATGGGTCAGGAGTTTCTGTTTCATCTTGTGGGCAGAGGAGCCACTGAAGAACTTTGAGATGGGTGGTGACACGGTAGATTGATGCATTTGAAGGATGAATGTGGCAGCAGGGCGGAGGATGAGTTGAAAAAGGGAGAAAGGCCAGTTATGTCCAGACATTGGCCGTAAGGTTGGAGGAGAGGAGAATGGCTTGAGAAAACGGAAAGAAGTGGGGTAGACGTGGCTAGTGGTTATGAGTGTGGGGGAGGGGATCAGATGCGGACAGGGAGGAGGAAGTCAAAGCTCCGGGCTCCTGGCTTGGCTCCCTGGGTAGATGGCGGTACCCTTCACTGGGGTGGTTTAGAAGAAGAGCAAAATTTTTCTTGGTGTGGAGAGAGGGTAGTGGGTGCATGGTGGAAGGTGATTAGACTTGTTTGGGACTGATTGAGTTTGATATTTAAGTGGAGCCTCTGTCAGATGTTTGGAAATAAAGGCCTGGAGCACTGGAGAGAGATCTGGTCTGGAATGACTGTTGTGCACATTGTCAGCATGTAGCGATAGTTGAAACTAATGCAGGTGAGGTTGTCCTCAAGACTGAGAAGGAAAGATGCTTATAAGAAATAACACATCTAGTATCTCTTCTAGCAAAAAATTCCATCGGCCCACGGGTGAAATGAGGAATAGCAGCAGAACAAAACAAACAACTGAAGCTATGAAGTAGAAAAAGGTGTGCATTGCAGCCGGTTAGGCAGTTAGTTGCTGAAGTAGGAAAGAAGAGGAACTGAGTCTGTATAATCGAGTCTCTAGAGCCGCCTTGGGTTCTGAACAGCCTTTCTTTCCGTGGGTGCTGATCGGCTTTTCCTGTTTTAAGAAGCTTGTGTATTTGGCCAAACCCCTGTGTTCTTTATTTACTTGTATTTCCCCTCCCCCCTTCTCTTTCCCCATCCCCAGAAAAGACAATGAGAGAGGTACGTGGTGGAGATGGTGAGCATGGTGGGGGTAACAAAACTGGAGAGTCGTCATGCACACCCTGTCTGATAATTGGCAAGAGGGCGTCAACCAGAGTGTTAAAGAATACAATGGCCGAATCCTTTTACGTAACTTTTTATTTCAAAACAATTTTATGCTTAGAGAAAAATTGAGCATTTAAAGAATTTCTGTTCACCCTTCATCCATAATCCCTAATTGTTAACACATTTGCCTTATATATACATATTTTACATATATACATGTATTCTTTTCTGTTAACTATTTAGGGAGGAGAAGGGAAAAGTCTGCTCCGGGAAGTGCTGAGGATCGTGTGTTGTAATTAATTGTCCACATATGAGATTTTTAAGAATAAGATATTGTTGTCATTGAGGCAAATGAACTGGGTGGGTGTGTGTTATCCCAATAGGTTTTTAAAATAATGTGATTTTAGAAGATAAAGGCATTCAAAGGCAGTTTGATGGGTAAACTAATTCAAATACTGGAGTTCCGTTTTGTGGTTTTTCAAGTGCACATTTATATGTAATTCATATATATTTACTTATAAAAATCACAGTATTGTAACTATATTATAACATTATGCTTTTACTGTGCAGCTAAGTGATTTTGACTGTTAGGCCAAAGAGTACAAGTGCTGTAGTGTCCTGTCTTTTGCAGTAGTGTGGTTGAGTCCAAAGATAACCAAGAAGAACAGAAACAGGTGCGCTTACCAGAGAGCAGCCTGACACCATGGGAAGTGTGGTTTGTTGGCAAAGAAAAAGAAGAACGTGACCGTCTGCAGCACAAAGCTCTAGAGGTAAAACTAGACAGCGTTCTCTTTATTTAATCCCTGAGCTCAGAGTAGAGCTGCCGTGGCCATTAAATGTTAATATTATCCCTCAAAACAAAGTTTTTGCATTTGTTTGTGTCGGTAACTCTTATTGTAGAAATAATACATTGTCATTATAAGGACATTTGGAAAATACAGCTAAGCATAATTAAGAAAATTAAAGTCATCTTTAATCTCACTACTTGAAGATAACCACTGTTAATATTAAGGTGTGTAGCCTTCCAGATTTTCTTCCATGTAAATTAAAAAAATAAACATGTACAAGTGTATATATACAGACACATACAAAGGAGCTTCACCATAGGTGCATTTAACTGAAGCAAATTCAACTGCATATACTTGGTAAAATTTTTAAGAAAGGAGAGAAACAAAAATTGAAATAGATAGGAATCTACCCACATGCTACTCAAAGCATGTGCCCTAGAGTGAGTTTGTGCTGGGAGATTGGAATCTGCTGGACTTTTGGGGTTTTTCAGTTTCTCTGTGCTTCCCTGCCTTGCTTGTGGATATTTCTGTTTATAATTTTCTTTCTGAACTCTCACTCTCCAGGCTCAAATAATAGTTTGAGATACATTTTCACAAGAATCCCTCATTCTTTAAACTCTTACTATTTGCTCTTTAGAACCTAGCAGCCACATAGATTGGATAGTTTGGCATCCCGCATACCTAGACTCATTATCTTAAGTCTCCCTTTCCAAATACAGAAAACAAATAGTTTTGAGTGGTGAGGGATACTTCATGTTTTTAATGAAATAGGACCAAACTCTTTTGTAACCTGCTTTTTTTCTACTAGTTACATTTATTAATATATTTTTGTATCATTAACTATATTTTTTGTTGTTGTTAATCCTCACCTGAGGACATTTTTTGCATTTTTTTTTTTTAAAAGACCGGGGAGAGAAAGAAAGAGAAACATATCCATTGGTTTCCTACCACGCGCACCCTGACTAGAGGAGGGGGATTGAACCTGCAACCCAGGTACATGCCCTTGACCAGGAATTGAACCCAGGACCCTTGGGTGCACGGGCCAATGCTCTAACCACGGAGCAACACTGGCCAGGGCCATTAAATATTTTTACAGTGTCATTTTTAGATGGCTGGCTAAGATTATTAAAATACATTTAAAATGTATTAAATATATATTAGAATATAGTTAATGGGTTCACTATTGTTGGATATTTAAGTTTATTAAGTCATGTTGTCATAAAAATTCTTGGAACTAAAACTTTGCCCTCCCTCATCTTTGGAATAAATTTTCCGTATCAGTTTTGAAACCAGTTGTTATTTCTGTAATGGGTTACTAGCCAGGTAGTCAGTCCCATATTCAGTAGGCTTGGCATGATTTAAATGACTATAGAAACCAATACCTTCTGCTGTTTCCCTATTGCCTGATACTGGGTATTCTAAAGTACAAGATATATTCCTGGAAAAGTGCACAGTAATATTTGTTTCCTCTTGGAAGGTCACGGAGTCTGAGAAAGACCCTAAGGTTTGATATAAGGCAGGCTTATTTAAACTTGATGCTCCATTCAGTTTTCTCATTTGTATAGTAAGGATAAAACCATGTATGTGTCACAGGAGCTTTACAGGGATTAAATGAGACAAAGTATAAAGATGGCTGGTGGTGTTTAATTGCTATTGATATGCTATTCACAGCCTCACTAAAGCTTTTTCACTTATTTTCAGACTTAGTTTGTATTATTGAGACCCCAGACCCTCCATTACTTGGTTCTGTAGCTTTCAAAATATTTGTCCATGGTGAGAAATCTACTTTGCTTCATGCCTCTCTTTCTCTCTCTCTGTCTCACACACATATTTGAAATAATATCTTAATTTTTGCAAAATCTGGTATTTTTTTTTTTAAAGGCGGTCATAACCCATTAAACTGGTTTTAGAGTCACAGTTTAGAAAACACTGATCTAGTGAGTCAGTGGAAAGTGGAGTTCAGTTTATGATGTTTATCTCTAGCCTTACTAGAAGTCACTTGTGACATTAAGAAAAGGAAGGTCACTTCAGTTCATTTTTAGAGTTAGCATACAATAAAATAAATTAAATTCATAAAGGGAGCCTGGGCTTTGGAGTGACAGAGAACAAGGCTGAAATTTTAGCCTTGCCATTCTAACTCTGTGGCCTTGAGAAAATTACTGAACTTCTCTGAGCCTCAGTCTCTTCATCTGTAAGCCAAATGTTAGAGAGGCAACAGTAGTAGAGTGGTTAAAAATGTAAATGCTTGAGCCATACTTCTTGGATTCAAAACTTGAACCTTGGGCAAATCCTTAACTTCTTTCCACCTTGATTTCTTCACCAGTGAAAGTGGGGAAACAGTATTTACTTCGTTGTGTTGTGGGGACTAAGTGAGCATCAGGAAACAGCTCACTATATAGGAAGCATTCAGTGAAAGTTAATTGTTATTTTGTGTTAAAGGAGATAATAAACTACTAAAGATTTGTTTTGAGAGCAGACTAAAATAATGGATATAAAGTCCCTACCACAGTGATTAAACTTGTAGCAGAATATAATTCATTTAAAGATTAAAACCATTTTATGTATTTAGTAGTGTGACATTTCTTATATCATAACTTCTGCATCATTACTTAACTCTGAAGCAATTAAAGTATTTTAGCATGAATCTCATTGTGTTAGTCATGCCAGTGATATGACTTGCAGGCCAACTCCTCACTTTTACAAGCTGTTTTGAGCTGCTGCGGCATTCCCATTCTTTTCATGCCTTTCTCTTTGTTTTACTTTATAAGTTAGGCTTTCTTTATTTTTTGTCCTTATTTATTGCATTCTGTAATTTGTTTATAAATAGTATCATTAGAAGTACAGAATTTTAACCATAAGGAACAATTCATCTCAGATTCCTAATAAACATGAGGGCCAGAAAGTAACTTTGCCAAGGTTTTCAGTTAGTGGCTAAGCTGGAATTGGATCCTAGTTTTTTGACTTCCAATTTAATAAGTGTTTTTTCCATAATACCAAGATGTATTTTAGAAGTAAATGGGTCAGACTTAGTGTTTAATTTTGCACTCCTGGCTTTCTTATTTTCTTTCTTAAAAACTTAAAGGAAAATCTAAAGGATAGTTGGTCATTAAAAATTCACCCCTTCTCATAAATTTGATTTCAGTAATAGGAATTTAGGCTTGTTTCAGACATCTCTATAAGATTGAGTTAAGAATTTATTTTAACCCATCAAAATTACCCCCTTATAAAGTGTTTAAAATTTTTAATTACATTAAAATGATAAATATGATAAATGTTGAATGTTAGTATTATGAAAGACTTGTAGGTCATATAAATTTTATTTAAATTTTTGTTATTAAAAATAATGCTTTAACAGACTGCCCTGAATTCTCTGTGGCCTTTGTTAATTCTAATTTTTTTACTTGCTTTAACATTTTAGTACAATCTGTTCTAAATTATAGAAATTACCTAGTTTGTGAATAATCCAAGTGCTTTTCCCCCCCATCATCTTGCCTTTGGCCATTTCATTCATCAGCCCTTAATGAAGGAATAGGGCAGGATATAGAGTTGGTAAAACTCAAAACTGTCAGTTTTTGTGATTGTTACCTCCAGCGGTAAACACCGTTCTTTGAAAGTTGACAAAAGCTATTGAAATAAAAGTGCTGTTTTGGATCCTCTTTGGATTTTGGTTTTCTATAATCAAGTGTTTTCTCTGTGGGAAAATAGCTGTAATCCTGTTGAAATTCAGTGGTGTACCAGAAGACAACATAGGGGCCTTGTGAGAGAAGGCTCCAGCTGTGTCGGAGGAGGCTTGCCTTGGTGGCGAACAGATGGAGGCATTCAGGGTGGGAAATGCTGAGAGGGCCAGCCTTGGAAAGGGAGGGTGACGTCTCGGAATGTGATGTATATTCTGGGGTGGCAAATTACTTGAACAGACATCCTGAGATTAGAGCACTGTCTGGGTCAGTGGTAGTATTTTCTACATGCTTTTGACCCTTCCTTTATCTTTAACTCTTATGTCAACATGAACTAAAATTTGTGAGCCATAAAATAGGAACACAAAGTCTGATTTCTTTTTCTGATTTTTGAGTTTAATTATATGAAGAATGTTAAAAGGTTACATAAGTGTAATCAGTCATATCTTTAGTTGTCTATTTAAATGATGACTTTTCTTGAAAATAAAATTGAGGACTGTATAGGGAAATTTTGGATCTATGATTGTTAGATCTGTATCTAGCCTGTCGTGCACGTGTGCATACACATGCACACACACACATACGTACATGTATTCCTCCTTTTTGTTTCCTGGCACAAGTCCAGACCTTCTTCCCCTTACAACTCATATACTGTGGCAACCTCCTAGCCAGTCTCCCTCACAGTAGCTCTGGTCCCTTTCATGCAGTCTTGGACCTTTATCATTGAGTTCTAAAGCATCCCTGTGCCATGTGTTCCTGCTTCATAGTGTTCCTTTACTCTGCCTGTCTCAAAAGTCCCTTTTCCACCTCATTACCACACCAGCCCATCGCCCCCAATCTCTCCTTTCTAGTCAAGCCCTTTGCTCACTGTTCCTCTCACGGTGCTCATTTTTCTCCTTGTTGACCACCCTTGTCCACACTGTTTCTCTTCTCACCCTCCCTTCCCTTCTTTTCCCTTTTCTTAGCTGATATTATACGTAATACTTCACAATGTAGCACTGAATTCTTCTGTGTGTAGAAGCAGATTAGATCAGAGGCTTCTGGAATTTCATCCCCGTGTCTCAGTTCATGCTATCTTTGTAGTAGGCACTCCGTAAAAAAAGTATTAAGCAAATAATCAAGGAAGAGCAGCTGCAGAGGTAATGAAGAATGTTAAAACCAAGATGGCTCTTTGCTCAGGCTGGTGGGGAGTATAATGCTTAAAGGTTGGAAGACTTCATGAATGAGTGAGGGCAGTTATTTTCTGTGCAGCGGAATTTTGGGATGAGGGGGCCTGGACCACAGGTATCCTGTGCGTCACTTGTTGTAAAGTGCAAAAGATATTTTCTTGGTGTCAAGTTTTATCTTCATTTCATTAACACACCAGGAGTATCTGAGAATTGAAAAGTTGTCCTTTCCACTTCCAACCATGCTCAGGTTGGTAGGTCTTTGGGAAAGGGAGGGGAGGGAAGGAGGAGTGAGGTCCAGGGGAAGATATGTAGAAGTACCGGATTATTAGTATCTAAGGAGAGAGAAGAGAAATAACTAGTAATTATGGTAGTAGAATCCTAGGAGTCCAGTTTGAACAGCATTTTCAACTAATGCAGTAATTTAACCGATGAGTGACAGAGTGGTGGCATTGAGCTTGTAGTTTTATTTGGCCATACCTTCCACATTCTTTCTCCTGAGGAAATGCCCAAACGTGTAGATTCCAGTGACAGCAAGGCCTATGGGATATGAATGTGGTTTTGTTTTACACTCCAGCAGATATAAAATAAGTGAAGAAAAATCTGGATTTATTTTTTTCCCCTAAAGAAAATTGAATGGTTTCTGTACATCTCTTCTTTGGTATGACTCTGAATTAAAATTTTAAATTTAGGGATTATTTAATTCCTATCCTTTATCTTCCTCAAGAATCTGGAAGCTTTTTATAACTGTAAAAAAAGTTGCAATTCCCTTGAGCTTCTGCCAAGAGTGTACAGTGATGCCAAAATTTATGTGTGGGAAAGTTGATTTCAATGAGGGTAATTTAGCTGAAGTTTAGTCTAAGAAACTAGTGTTTTGCTGCCAAGCAATTATTTGCATTTCTGAAAAATGACTTATACTTTTTACCAATGCTTTCTTTTCATCATAGTCTAGTTACTTAAGTAAGTTATTGTTACCAATGGTATATTTTCTGTAAAGGAAACTATGTTCTTGTTTAATTTGGTTAACCTCAGCTTTTTAAAAAATATGTGATTTGAGTACTTCTGTTAAATGTTGCCTTTTGTTTGAATAAAATTCACAGGAATTAAATCAGGAGCTAGAAAAAAGAAAAGAAAAGGAAGAACGTGAAAAAAGAAAGATAATTGCTGAAGAAAAGCACAAGGAATGGGTTCAGAAAAAGAATGAACAGGTAAGGAGAAAAAAATGCGCATATACACTGACATCTCTTTCACAAAGTGTTCTCCCTGTTACTCCTCATTACCTGGATTTTTCTTGTTTTCTCTTAGATTCTTTCTTCCCTGGCCTGATTTATTTTTTCTACCCTCATGAACATTTATGGAGTTTCTGTCTTCTGCCCTTTGCTCTCTGCTCGTCTTCCTTTCCCCTCTTGTGGCTTCCACTTGTATCTGACTACAGGTAATCATGAGGCCTGTACCTTCTACGCCTGACTTCTGGAGTCTTGGATTCCCAACTTTAAGGTTGGCTGCCACCTCTGAGCCTGCACATCTAAAACAGCCCATTTTTGCCCATTCTCTCGATAGAATTTCTCCTAACTTCTCGATTACTGTTATTTGCACTGTTATCTGTCACCTCGGCATAATCAGAATTCAGCTGCATCCCTTTCTTTCCTTTGTAATCACCACTCTCCTGTTGTGATCTCTTCCTGTCTGGTCTCATTACATCTTTCAACTTGTTTGGTTTGTTTGTTTTCCCATACTGGAATGTAAGCTCCATAAGGGCATCAATTTTTGCTTTTTTTGTTCAGTTCTCCAGCAGCTAGATCAGCATCTGACACTTAATAGATGCCCCAAGGTATTTGTTGAATGGATGGATCCATCCTCTGTGTTCTTGCCAGACTAATCTTGCTGAAACAGTCCAATGTCATTTCCCAATTCAAAATATATTTTTCATGATTCCTCGGTGTCTTCTGGATAACATTTTAACAATTCTAGCCGGGCTCTCTGCCCTCCGTCCATGTCTTCTACCTGTGGTTCCTTTGTTCTGTGCTGTTGATTTTTGCTGGCGTTCTTTTGGGAGTACACATGGGATACTCATGGCCCATCTTCTTGGAGTATTAGTTTTACTGGAAAATTTTGAGAGGAAAAATGTTATTTTTATGTTAAAGCAAGCACAGATATTTAATGGAGGAGAACATAAATTTTACATGCTTTTTAAGATAAACAGTAGATTTCAAAGAAATTTTGAGCTTTGGATGGTACTGTCCAGGCCCCAGGGATATGTGTTCATGAGAAATTTTAAGAACATTTTGTTCTGTTCTCACTTCCTTATTTTTTTATATGTTATTTTATCAGCCTGGAATCTCATTAGATCCTCCACCTTACCTTTTATTATCCAACTCAAAGCATTTCCTCCTATAGGAGGCGTTCCCTGATCACATGCTAGAAACTCCTTCCTTCCTGAATCCTTGTTCAAATGTATTACCNCCCGGCCTTCACCACACTATTGTCTGTGTCCATGGGTTATGCATATATGCATATAAATCCTTTGGTTAATCTCTTCCCACTCCCACCTCCTCCCCACTNGGTTGGCTGCCACCTCTGAGCCTGCACATCTAAAACAGCCCATTTTTGCCCATTCTCTCGATAGAATTTCTCCTAACTTCTCGATTACTGTTATTTGCACTGTTATCTGTCACCTCGGCATAATCAGAATTCAGCTGCATCCCTTTCTTTCCTTTGTAATCACCACTCTCCTGTTGTGATCTCTTCCTGTCTGGTCTCATTACATCTTTCAACTTGTTTGGTTTGTTTGTTTTCCCATACTGGAATGTAAGCTCCATAAGGGCATCAATTTTTGCTTTTTTTGTTCAGTTCTCCAGCAGCTAGATCAGCATCTGACACTTAATAGATGCCCCAAGGTATTTGTTGAATGGATGGATCCATCCTCTGTGTTCTTGCCAGACTAATCTTGCTGAAACAGTCCAATGTCATTTCCCAATTCAAAATATATTTTTCATGATTCCTCGGTGTCTTCTGGATAACATTTTAACAATTCTAGCCGGGCTCTCTGCCCTCCGTCCATGTCTTCTACCTGTGGTTCCTTTGTTCTGTGCTGTTGATTTTTGCTGGCGTTCTTTTGGGAGTACACATGGGATACTCATGGCCCATCTTCTTGGAGTATTAGTTTTACTGGAAAATTTTGAGAGGAAAAATGTTATTTTTATGTTAAAGCAAGCACAGATATTTAATGGAGGAGAACATAAATTTTACATGCTTTTTAAGATAAACAGTAGATTTCAAAGAAATTTTGAGCTTTGGATGGTACTGTCCAGGCCCCAGGGATATGTGTTCATGAGAAATTTTAAGAACATTTTGTTCTGTTCTCACTTCCTTATTTTTTTATATGTTATTTTATCAGCCTGGAATCTCATTAGATCCTCCACCTTACCTTTTATTATCCAACTCAAAGCATTTCCTCCTATAGGAGGCGTTCCCTGATCACATGCTAGAAACTCCTTCCTTCCTGAATCCTTGTTCAAATGTATTACCTTGTATTATGTATATATTTTGTTGCTATTTTGTATTGTGCACATATCTTTCCTTGTCATTTTAAGACTTAAGGATAGGAATTAATTTTTATATTTTTAATTCATTATAATATTTAATACAATGCTTTATAATACAATAACCTTTTGTTGTTGGAATGAATGAATGAATGGTATTCCTTTCAATTTTAATGTATTCTTTTTATAAAATGTATCTTTNCACCACACTATTGTCTGTGTCCATGGGTTATGCATATATGCATATAAATCCTTTGGTTAATCTCTTCCCACTCCCACCTCCTCCCCACTCCCCTGCCTGCCCTCTGAGATTCATCAGTCTGTTCCATGCTTCTGTGTCTCTGGACCTATTTTGTTCATCAGTTTATTTTGTTCATTAGATTCCACATATAAGTGAGACCATGTGATACTTGTCTTTCTCTGCCTGGCTTATTTCACTTAGCATTATACTCTTCAGGACCCTCCATGCTATCTCAAAGGGTAAGAGATCCTTCTTTTTTACAGCTGCATAGTATTCCATGGTGTAAATGTATCACAGCTTTTTTATCCACTCATCTACTGATGGGCACTTGGGCTGTTTCCAGATGTTAGTTATTATAAATAATGCTGCTATGAACATAGGGGTGCATATGTTCTTTCTGAATGATGTTTCAGGATTTTTAGGACATATTCCTAGAAGTGGGATCACTGGATCAAATGGCAGCTCCATTTTTAATTTTTTGAGGAAACTCCATACTGTTTTCCACAGTGGCTGCACCAGTCTGCATTCCCACCAGCAGTGTACCAGGGTTCCTTTTTCTCCACATCCTGGCTAGCACTTGTTTTCGATTTGTTGAGGGAGCCATTCTGACAGGTGTGAGGTGATACCTCGTTGTTTTAATTTATCTCTCTAATGATTAGTGACTTTGAGCATTTTTTCATATGTCTCTTAGCCATCTGTATGTCCGCTTTGGAGAAGGGTCTATTTAGGTCCTTTGCCCATTTAAAAATATAATATATTTTTATTGATTTCAGGGAGAGGGAGAAAGAGAGAGATAGATACATCAGTGATGAGAAAGTGATTGATCTTCTGCCTCCTGCATGCCCCCTGCTGGGAATCGAGCCCACCCCGCCATGTGCCCAGACCAGGAGTCAAACCGAGATCTCCTGGGATCATAGGTCTATGGTCAACCACTGAGCCATGCTGGCTGGGCTCTTTGCCCATTTTTTAATTGGATTGTTTGCCTTCCTTTTGTTAAGTTGTATGAGTTCTTTATATATTTTGGAAATTAACCCCTTAGCAGATGTATCACTGGCAAATATGTTCTCCCATACAGTGGGCTCCCTTGTCATTTTATTGATGGTTTCTTTTGCTGTGCAGAAGCTTTTTAACATATTCTTGTATTAGATCACAAATTTAAAAATTTTAAAATACTTGTCAGTTTGTTATCTGTAATGATTTTTACATATTTAGAATGATACTGTTTTTTATTATAATCCAATTTTATGAATTTAGTCAAATATTTAAATTGTAGGACAAAATTTTAAATTCTAAATTTTTATACTTAACTATTATATTTAATGCCCAGTGATATTAGTAAGAGTGCCTAGTAAATCATTTCAATAAATTGAAGATGACATAGCTTTCTTCTTCCAGGTATTGTAAGATGGACATTAGCAAGACATATGTGTGCTATAACCATAATTTGTTCTTTACTTCAGAAGTATATTATTATTATTATCATTGTTACTATTATTAATTTAGTATCCTCCCATAATTCAACAAGAAAGAGTTCTTTGTGAATCAATGCCAAAATAAAAATAAAGTGTCTGTGACCATTACCAAGCTTTGGGTGATACTTGTTTGAAATAACTGAAAAATAAAATAGTTTTACATGTACATAATAATAGCATGCTCTCTCCTCTAAAAGCTTTTCTTATCTTCTAACTCCATTAAGCTCATTTTACCATGCCAGTCAAACATAGTTGTTGTTTGTCTAAGAATGTAAGATACTACTGAGAAATGATATATTCTCTGTTTTAATTAGTGGCAGTAGATCTAATCCAATTATTTGAGAAAATTTTTTTCTTTTGGGGGGAAATGGCATGCCCTGACATCAATCATTAATTATTGAAAGCAGGATTCCACAAGGTTGAGAGTAGTTCACAAAGGAACCATGAGAAATTAAGTTTACTTATTCTGTAGGAGTCTTGTGCATGTTAAGAAATAATTGATTACTCAATTTTTTTCTTCTTTAAAACCTATCAGATTTCTTATTTCAGTCTTAGTTACATTTACCTCTGTATGTAAAGACTGCCTTCCTGGTTCTTCTCTTTCTGTCTGGCATCTAGCTTTTTTCTCCTCTGTTTACATTTCATGGTGTGTGGTCCTCCGCTGCCTCCAGCTTCATTCACATTTTAGCTGTATCTGTGGCCTTATTTTCTCTAAGTCATTTCACTGTGTTCTATCAAAAAATCAGACAAAAAGGATTTATGTATCCATTAGCAAAGCTAGTTTCTTATACTATGGCTGTAAATTGTTAAATCTGTTTCAAATAAGTTGGCTTATCTCATCTGGTACCCTTATATTTGTGTCGCCATACTACTTTGTTTTTTAGATTTGTTTTTTGCATGTGTTATCACATATTTTGGAAAAGGGTCTTTACCTTTATTGTTTATAAAACTTATTTAAACATAAAGATATTTTTAATTTTCAAAACATGGAACTGATTTTCTTTAATGTAAAAAATAAACTTGGGTCAGCAAAGCATATGACTGGTAACACTGTCATCAGTGTATCCTTCATGTGTTCTACACTTCTACTGTGCCGGGTACTAGTGAGGAACCAAAGTAGAAACTCAGAAACCATAGCCAGTTGTTTTGTTAGTTTCCTTTAGTTTGAAGAAACAAAGGTTCTCTCAGGGCACCATCTTCACAGAGGGAAGATTTATTGTTGTGCTCTGTGCGGTATGGAACTGGAATGCCAGAAAACCTGAAGCCACTTAGTGGCTGGCTACTCTCTCAGCACTTCCCTGAGTGCAGGCTCTGCTCTCCTTTTGCTAACCAAAGGCATTCCATTCTCTCTTCTCTAGTTTAAATCCTATGGAGAGCATGTCTGATGTTATAAAATCAACTTTTTTGAGCTATAATTTATATACAACAGAATATACCTATTTGAAGTTTGATGAACATGTTCCTGCATAACCAGCAGCATAGTCAAGATACAGGACATTTCCTGCTCCCCACCCCAATGAGCCCCAGCTCCAAGGAAGCCATTCGTCTGCTTTCTGCCCTTGTAGATTAGATTTGCCTTTTCTAGAGTTTTATATAAACGGAATCATGGAATATGTATTCTTCAGTTTTTAAAATTCCCTATTTCATGTATTAAGATAGTTCCTTTTTATTGCTAAGTAGTAGTCTGTTCTATGGAATACCACAGATCATTTATCCATGCACTAGTTTATGTACAATTGGGTTTTTTCTGATTAGGGGTATTATGAATAAAATTCTATGACAACTTATATACTAGTCTGTAGGCATTTCTTTTCATTTCTATTGGGTAAATGCCTAGGAACTGAATTGCTGGGTTGTGTAGTAAGTATATGTTTAACTTTATAAGAAATTGCCAAACTTTTTAAAAGTGCTTGTATCATTTTACATTCCCACCACTATTGTATGAAAATTCCCATTGCATCACATCCCTGCCAAACCTTACATTGTCAATCTATTGGATTTTAAGTCATTTTTCAGTCAGTGTGTAGTGATACGTCACTGTCATTTGATTTTCATTTCCCTGAGATCTTTTGATATTTACCATCTTTTCATAAGCTTATACACTGTGTTAGTCTGCTAGGGCTGCCATAACAAAATACCACAGGCTGGGTATGAAACAACAGAAATTTATTTCCTTAGAGTTTTGGAGTCTCAAAGTCCAAAATGAAGATGTCAGCAAGATTTGGTTGTTTCTAAGGCCTCTCTCTTTGGCTTGCAGATGTACACTCTCTCTTCCTACCCTCACACGGCCTTTCCTCTTTGCATGGGCATCCCTGATGTGTGTCTCTCCTCATATAAGGACACCAATCCTATGAACTTACAACCTCAGTGGATGAATTACTTCTTAAAGGTTTTATCTCCCAATATAGTCACATTGAGGATTAGGGATTCAACATAGAAATTGGGGGTGAGGTCACAATTCAGTCCATAGCATTCTCTACCATTTCTATATTTCTTGTTTTGTCCTTAAGTTTTTGCCCATTTTGTGGAAGGATTGTGTGTCTTACTAAGTTTTGAGTCCTGTCACATATATGTGTTTCAAATATTCCCTCCCATTTATTTTAATGGTAATTTTTAAAGAGCAAAAGTTTTAAAGTTTGATCAAGTTTCATATTTAAATTTTTTCTTTTATAGTTTGTGGGAGTGTTGGCCTGTTTTAAAAATGCCAAGGATGTAAAAATATTTTTCTTTGTTTTCTTTTAGAAGTTCTGTAACTTTAGCTTTTACCTGTATGTGTATTTTGAATTAATTTTAATGTATGGTTACAGTTAAGAGTCAAGGCTCATTTTTTTGTGTATATGGATATCCAGTTGTTGCAACACTGTTGAAAAGGTAATATTTTTCTTATTCAGTTACCTTGATATTTTTGTTTGAAATCAGTTGACTCACATATGTGAGTTTATTTCTGGACTCTCTTCTGTCCTGTTGATCTATATTCTGTGCCAGGACCACACTAGCCTGTTACTATAGTTTTATAATTCTTGAATGTGTAATTCTTTTAATCAGGCAGTATAAATCCTACATCCTTTCTTCTTTTTTCTTTGTTTTAGTTTTTCTGCATCTTTCCATATGCAATTTAGAATCATCAACTTTCCTAGTCATGCTTTCTTGAATAGTGCCTGACACTGTTGGGACTGTATTAAATATATAGATCCTTTTGGAGAAAATTGCCATCTTAATAGTATCAAATATTAAATCAGTAAACATAACTTTTCTTTCTACTTATTGAGACCATCTTTAATTTCTCTGAGTAATGTATTTTAGTTTCTAGCGTACAGGGTGTTACTCACCTTCTGTTAATTGTACCTCCAAGTAGTTCATGTTTTCAAAGATGAAAATAGTTATCTTGTCATATTTCTGATGTTATCTCATAATTTCTATGTCTGGTTTTGATATCTGAATAATATTGGGCTCTTAAAATGAACTTGGATATGTTCCCTTTACGTATTTCTGTTTTCTAAATAATTTTTTAGTAAATGGTGTTACTTCTTCCTTAATGTTACTCAAATACTGATTTCTTCCTGAATCAGTATTGGACAGTGTCATATTTAAGCAATTCTGACATTTTATTTAAATTGAAATTATTGGCATAAAAGTGTTTTTAACATCTCTCAATTCAGTAGTAATCTGCCAGTTACCATCTCTGTGACCTTAGGCGAGTTACTTAGCATCTTTGTCCCTTAGTGTCCTCATTTGTAAGATGAGATCATAAGAGTACCTACCTAATATTGTGGTTATAAAAATTAATTGACAGTGCATGTGTATAAAATGTATAGAATAGTAATAGGCAGAGTTAGCACTGCTTAAATGTTAGCTGTTATAATTGAAAACAATGGAGGGACTGGATGACTCCTTGTTAATGAGGTCATGGAGGAGACTCATGAGTCAGGCAGAGATTAATTGAGATATGCTCCAACATCCTTTTAACCTTGTAGATTTTCTGACAGTGCAAAATGGTTAAAAATCAGTGGATATTGAGTTCTCAGAAAGGATTCCTTTTTGCAGCTATTGGCTGCCCAACAAGAAGGAAATACTGTATAGCAACTTGGGGAATGACTTGAGCTTTGATTTTTTTTTAAGTCCTGCCTTTCCTGCACAGCACTGAACATATATTGTAGGTAACTGATGTGTTTTACTTGGGTGTTAATTGAATCACTTACATTAAAATATTCTAGAAGATGGTTTCAAGGGAAGAATTGATTTTCTTGGCTCATATGTCTTTGCTTCATGATGGGTGATGTATATGGCATTTGTATTGCATACAATTTATGCCTTGTAGGTTATTTTCTAAACCTTTACTACAGAGAGCTAGCCACGCCATCCGTTTAGAATTTAGCTATGTTAGTAGGTTATCTTTTGAATGAGGAAGGAAAAAACATTGAGTTATAGTCTGTGTCAAATTCTTTTCTGTAAAGGGCCAGATAATATTTTGGGCTTTGCAGGCCATACAACCTGTGTTGCAACTATTCAACTTTGCTGTTGTGGTGCAAAAGCAGCCATAGACAATAAATATGAGAATAAATGGGTATGGCCACATTTCAATAAAACTTTATTTAAAAATACAGGTGACAGGTGGTAGGTGGACCATATTTGGCCTGAAGGCCATAGTTTGCCAACCTGTGCTCTGTGTAAGACTTAAAAGAATTACATAACTAAAAATCTGTCTGTATGTGCCCTTATAGCAATAGCCAGTGGGCCAAAATGTTACTTATTTGTCCTATGTAACTCACTGATGGTGAAGATTTATCCAAGTATTCATATTGTCAGACCTTCCAAGAAATGTGTACATATATGGCTCCTATTTTAGAGGATAAACATCCATTAAGAAACACAGATTCAGGATAACAGGTTGTAATTTCTGTTCACTAATTTATTCAAGTCTTTATTGGGCACCTGCTGTTTACTCAGCACTGTCTCAGGCTCTGAGTAGACGTTGGTGAATAAGGTATTTATTATTGCCCTGCGAATCTTAGAGCCGAGTTGGTAGCCTAAAATTGACCAGGTAATTGCAGGCGTGTTACATGTTTTCACAAACCATACTGTGTCAACTGCTGTGGTTCCACCTATTTTAAGAAATAACTGAAGTTTAGAAGATTACTGTAGATAACACTCCTTCAAATTCCTTTATTTTTATTTAAGAAAAGAAAAGAAAGGGAACAAAAAATTAATAAAGAAATGGAGGAAAAAGCAGCAAAGGAACTGGAGAAAGAACATTTACAAGAAAAAGCAAAAGAAAAATATCAAGAATGGCTAAAGAAGAAAAATGCTGAAGAATGTGAGAAGAAGAAGAAAGAAAAGGTATTGAAAGTGCGCAGTTAGAAGACAGCCTCGGTGTTCATATGCACCAGCTGTACGCCCTGAGTAGTTCCTAACAGGAAGTTGGCACTGTCTCAGCGTAAAACACGTGAAGCTGTCTCTACTTATTATACTATGCTGAAGCTTCAGAAATGATTATGCACTTGTGGTTTTCTTAGGTTGAGAAATGTCTATAAGCAAGCCTGTTGATATTTTTACAGTTAGGTTCAAACTTTTTATCACTGTTAATGCTAAATTTCGGTGGTACTTTTTATTACATTATTGTAAATTACTATTCTGTTTTAAAACAGCAAATTGCTTTTTTCTTCTTCGGTTTGATGTCTTGTACAGAGGCAGCCACCTTCATATCACATCCCTGATCATGTTAAAATTTGCTCTCAAATTAGAGAAATATGATTCAGTAATTATCATCAGTAAGCCACTGGGGTGGGGAGCTGCTGGGGAAAAGTCAGTAGAAATTTTAGTTACAGAATATCCCTGGGGATTCTTTGGTCTTGTCATTTTAAGGAAAAAGAAAAACAACGTCAAGCTGAATTACAGGAAAAAAAAGAAATAGCAGAAAAAAAGTTTAAGGAATGGTTGGAAAATGCAAAAAATAAACCTCGTCCAGCTGCAAAAAGCTACGGTTATGCCAATGGAAAACTTACAGGTTGGTTTTTATGTTATGTGGCTTACATAAATATGGCTTTCAGAAATGAATATTATACATTATGTCTTCTCTTGACAGAAATAGAAATGTGTAAAAATCATTTTTCTTTCAAATCACTATTTTCTGGAAGATTATATTATAATATACTATGTTCCTATGGAGATACTACAAATTTATTGTCATTCTCTATAAATTAGATATATTTGAAAGGCAATAGTTGCAAACCTGCAAAGTAAGATTTCTAACATTAAGAAACTAGTTATATTTTCTTATATTCTTTGGATTTTAAAGCCTTAAGTGGGACATATTTAAGGGGTGATTTTTCCTCCCCTTCTAACCCTCTCCGAGGCAGAGCTCCCAGTGTCTGACACATTCTTTTTGCAGGGTGGAATACGAGGCACCACACGAGCCAGCCGCAAAACCGGCCGGTCCGATTATAAACGGTGCTGCATGTTTTCCTTTGTGCTTCATGTTGGAAGCTCATACCTTGCTGACAGCTGCCTTCACTTGTTTAAGTGATTTATTATTAAAAATACTCCCATTCTGTTTTGTTCACACAATAGAACATATTCCAGACTTTGTTTTGACCATCTTGGTGAAGTGTGTGTTGACATATCTGTGCAGGCAAAGTGGGCTGCCAGTGTCTGAATGACACATTCCTGCTGTCAGGCTTTAGGCCTCCTGCATGTCACAGAGGTCAGCCCCCACAGCTACTGAGCATTGGCTGCTCCATTTTCTTTCTTTCTCCTTTGAAAAAAATGCAGTAAGCAGTGGTTTTAACCAAACGATTGGGTAGTTAAGATAAAACTTCAGAGGGACTATACATATTGAATAGAAGTTAATTGCTAAAATAATGAATTCTTATATCTTACTTTTTTACATTTAATGAGTTTTATTCTAATAAGCATCATGGTTGTCTGCAAATGCTCTTAAGTCTCTATTCTTTGCCTGAATCATTTTTACAAATTATGGCATAAAGGAGTTTATGTGCATATAGTGACTGGAGGATTTGCCTATTATTCGCAAAATGTTCCTCCTTCAGAATTATTAGATATTGGACATCACAACTCACTAAACACTTCATATACATTCTACCAGGAGCACATTCCATAATTAGCAATCAAAATTACAATGATATTATGAAATCTTAGTAATTTGAGTGCCGGTAATTTAGAATTTCAGTGATTCTGAATAAGAATCTTGACTCACTGTAGCTACCTATGCAAAGTGAATTTTTCAGTGTGTGACTAGGAGAAACTAGTATATAGTCAATGATTTTCCAGATTTAGTTAAGAAAATTAAGATTTTGTTCAATTTAAGGGTTCTAAACAAATTCTTAGTAACATTTTTTATATGAGCTTTCATGTAGATTATAACATTAACATTTCTTTGGACTGTTAGAATTTCTATCATTTACATGTTAATTTTTACTGCAATCTTTACTGTATTTGTGAACTATTACATGTTTGAAAGTATTCAGGAGTTCCTTTTCAATGAGTCAAATTGGCTTATCAGTTGATATTTTTGACCTTTTGATATTTTAACATTTTTTAGGAATTTAAAAATAACTAGTTTCTTTGATCTCAAGTTTTTTTCTTGTTTTGTTTTGTTCTGATTTTTTAAATGATTTTAGGTTTTTACAGTGGAAATTCTTATCCAGAGCCAGCCTTTTATAATCCAATTCCCTGGAAACCAATTCATATGCCTCCTCCCAAAGAAGCTAAGGATCTACCAGGAAAGAAGACTAAACGGCCTGTGATAAGTCAGCCACACAGGTCTTCATCTCTGGTAATCCATAAAGCCAGAAGCAACCTTTGCCTTGGAACTCTGTGCAGAATACAAAGATAGTAGACGTGGGAAATTGCATGCTTTTACCTATAGATATTTAACTTTAAAATCAGAAATTGTTTTTTTACTGCTCAGTCGGTAGCTCAGCATTTGATGTGATTATTGACAAGTTCAAATTTTTGCATTTATATATGGAGAACTTAGAGTTTATTAAGGAAGATATTTTATACATTTTCACTTTTTAAATGCTTCAAGTTTGATCTTGGCATATTGTTTTGAAGGATAAGTGACTGAATATCTAACAATTGTGTTTGTGTTTAGCTTGTATTAAAACCACTGTGATACCAATAAAACCAACAATTTTTCCTGTGTTCTTTCATACTCTATGCTATTTATTTGTATTTACACTTACAAACATAAGATTAAGATTAAATCATTCAAACAAGCACTTCTAAATGGCATGTTCAAGATAACTCTTAGAAGAATCTGAGTGAGTTAGAATCTTACAGTAATCAAAAGCTGTCTTGTTTGATCTCTCTTCTCTATGTAAATATTTTTAAACAAATATCTGAAGGCATGTTTTATAACAAAATGAGGATTGTGATTTTGAAAGGAAATTTAAAAACATTTTGTGCTCTAGATCTTAGATGTTAGTAATCTTGAGACACTGATATTATTTTGTACTTTGTACAAATACTTATATATTGTGATTAGTTAGGTTGTTAATTTTGAAATTTAGGATTATCAGTCTCTTGTATTTTAATACTAATGTTAAGTGATATTTTACTGAAGTTGAGATCACAGATCTTATTAATAAATGTTAAGGATAGTAGTACAAAGGATTAGTAAAATAGTACTCAGCACTTTCTATTAAATTTTAAAAGTCTGTATCTTTTTTAGGGGATCGTCAAGAAATGAAAATTTGTTGTGGCAATATAAAGTCAGTAAGTTCATTCAAAAGTGATTCCTATTTAGAATATATTCTACGTTTCTGCTATTTCAGTCATTTGCCAAGTTTCTTGTGATTAACCTGCAATGGTGGTGATCGGTGCAAGAAAACAGCAATGGGATCTTTGGAGAGTATTCATGTCATCAGAAATCTAGGAAAATTCTAAGCAGAGAAAGTTAGGGAGGAGTCAGTAGAGTTTGTTCGACCAAAATATTGGTGAGATTTAGAGGCCTGACCATTTTTCTCAGAACCTCTTAGATGCAGTGAAACTTACAGATGATCATTCTACTTGAGTAAATTTACCTATAGAGAGAGAGTGAAGAACTTGCCAACGTAGCAATAAACTTATGTCAGGAACATAGTGTGCATAGACCTGAATTCCTGGGGTTTTAGATATAGCTACCATCTCTAAGAAACCTTCCATTCACACAGTAGATTAAGTCATTTAGGCACCGTTTAGCCATAAACATCATCCTAATAAGACTTTCCATTCAATCAATAATTAATGAGTTAGAACCAATATTAATTGAACATTTACTCTGTGACAGATATTTTGCATATTGATTTAGGAATTTAAATTATATATTTCTTTAATTGAGCAAACATTTACAGCCTAGCCAGGAAAACAGCAGAATAAATGCTATAATATACTATGCTTAAAATTATGTTCGGAGTTCATATGGGAACATAGATTCAGCTATGAATGGATTAAGAAAGGCTACAAAAGAGGTTACATTAGAGCTGGTGAAAGTTATGGAGGAATTTTCTAGATGGCTATGAGGCTGACCATACTCACGGACACGTAGTGGAAGGTAGCTGGGAATGAAGCCAGGGTCAAAGTGAAGAGGCTCTGCGTGCTGCAGAATCAGACTTGGTCCTGTGGGCTTGTGAGGTCCTGCTTGCTACACCAATGAGACATATTTAAAAGATTTTGACTACAAACTTCATCTATTATTAAAATCTAATTGTTCTTCAAACCAGTCAACATACCTGATTACCATGATATTAGTGTTTTTAACCTGAATCAATTTTCCTTGAAGTCAATATACTTGATATGTTAGGCGTTACAAACTACAGTACATTACAACATTTGAAATTTCTGTTGTGGTTTTTAAACTATCTTTTTGACTTCTGCTACTACTTTGATAGGAACTGCTCTGAAATATCTTGGTAACCTATAGTGTCATCAAATTCATGATCCAATAGAAAGGACACAAGTATTCTAGACCCAAGTCTGTGTTTGAGTCGAGTCCTAGCTTCGTGTCTGCTTATCTAGGAGATGCCTCAGTTGTTTTCAGTGTTCAGTACCTTATCTAATTTAGAAACTTATCCTGGGGAAAGTACCTAGAAAGGCAAAATTGTTTCTTTTTTATATAATGGTAGTTCTGATAAGATGTACAAATATTCTTTTTAGCAATAATTGATTTACATAACTGACTTTGGTTAACATGCCAACCTTGACTGATGATACACCAAAAACAAGTTAACTTGTCTGCTTAGGGTAGACTTTCATTTACCTCCAACAGTAAAAAGTGAATACATTGTTTTTATTTTCTTCAAATTGATTCAATAAATATTTCTTGAATACCTACTAAGCACTAGTTAGTACTCTAGATGCTGTGAATAAGAGAGGGTCCCTGCTGCCTCATGGGATCTTCTTTGACTGATAGCAAACAGATATTGAACATGTAAACTATTTATTTGGCTGTATGTGCTGTAAAGGAAATAAAACAGCATTGGGATAAACCAGGGATTTTTCAACCGCTGTGCCGCGAGAATTTTTAAAACATGCACTACCTGACTACTTAGGGGCACAGACCTCGTTTCCCTTAGTTTGTCAAATAAAAAAATGACAACAGCCAACACAATAGCCATCCTGTGTGAATGAATCACAATTATACCTATTTTTTTGTCAGATTGGCAAAAATATTTTTGGTGTGCCACAGAATTTTAGTAATTCACGTGTGCCATGAGATGAACAAGGTTGAAAGTCACTGGAATAAAACTAGGTGGATGGATGCCTTAGATGGAGGGGTTTCTCTGAGGTGGCAACATGTCCTGACTAGCCTTGCTAAAATCTGGGGAAAGAGATACCCAGTCGGGGAACAGCTTGTAAGTGAATTTGGTGTGTCTGAAAAAGGCCAGCTTGCCTGGAGTGGAGAGAGTGATGGGGAAAACAGTAGGAGTTAAGGTTGGAAAGTCAGCAGGGCAGATCATATATAATCCTGAGTTCAGTAGTTCAGATTTTATTCTAATTGTATTGGGAAGCCTCTGGAAGGTGTTAAGCAGGGAATTGATATGATCTGGTGTATAGTTGAGCTGCTCCGGCTGCTGTGAGGAAATTGGCCTGTTGGAGACAGAGACTCAAAAGCAGGGGAAACTCACTGGGAGCATTTTGCTGTCTCCAAAAAAGAGACCGTGACAGTTTAGATTACGATGGCAGCGGTGACATGGTAAAAGTAGGGGTGTATTTGGGATATGTTTTGCAGGTAGAGCAAACAGGACTGCTAACATTAGATGTCAGGTAGAGGGAAGAAGGAAAAGTCAGATAAGACTTTTCTAATTTTTAGGCCTGATCCACTGGGTTAATGAAGACGTGATACGAGCAGGTGTTTGGGCTGAGATGGGGAGAGGGGCATCCTTAAGAATTCTGTCCTGCAGCCTGGATGGACCTGGACTGGATATGCTGAGTGAAATAAGCCGGTCGGAGAGAGACATATCACATGATCTCACTCACATGTGGAATCTAACAAACATATAAACTAACGAACAAAATAGGTCCAAAGGCATGGATACATGGAACAGACTGACAGATCTCAGTGAGGAAACGAGAAGACATTACTCAAAGAACTTATATACATATACGCATAGCCCATGGACAGACAAGAGTGTGGTGAAGGCCTGGGACGGGGCAGGGGCTGGGAGGAGGGGAGAAATTGGGGGAAATCTGTAATACTGTCAACAATTACACACACACACACACACACACATATATATTTTTTTTAATGAGTTTTGTCCTAGATCTGTGAGGTCTGTGGTACCAACTTAATATCCCACTGGCAATGGCAATTAGATATTTGTGTCTGACGCTCAGGGGACAGCCAGGAGAGGAGTTACAAATTTAAGTAACATCAGCACATAGGTGGTATTTAAAAACACGGGACCGGGTCCGGTTGCCTGGGAAGAGTTTAGATAATAAAAAGAGAGGGTTGAGTATTCCACTATTTAGAAGTTGAGCGGCCAGCAGGGATCCTGAGAAGCAGCGGCCCTGAGGTAGAAGGAAACCCAGGAGGCCCGAGGGGGAGCGTTAGAAGCAGGCTGTGAAAGCGGAGCGGGAAGAGCCTTCTTGGCGGGTTTGGTGAGGATGAAGGGCCATCCTGACCTCAGTGGCGGGCGGCGGTGAGCACTCCCGTGTGCAGGGAAGTGCCCGGGCCGTCTGGATGGCTAACTCCTGGCCTCAGGGCAGCCCTGTGAGGTTGCACGCTTACTATCCCCGCTTGATCACTGAGGGAACACAGGAGTCCCTACGCTGCTGTTACACCTAGTGACTCCCAGGAGGGGACTGAGCGTAAGACGCCCCGGTCCAAGCTCAACCACATTCCTCCTTCCCTCCTGTATGACACATGTGATAAGGAAAATGGGTAGGAAAGCACAGCCCGGCAGGGGGAGGAGAGAGCGGGAGGTGAGAGCGGGGCCGCCCCGGGAGGAGCTTCGGGGTGCGGGGAGCACGCGCGGCCAAGGCCGCTTTCCGCTCGCTTGGCTTCAGGTGGGTGATAGTAAACGTGCTTCTCCGCTGGTGCTGCTGACGCAGGGGAAAGGGGACTTGCAGATTTAGGAGGCATCAGGGCTGCTTTAGCAATGCATTTCCTAAACAGCAGAAGTTGATGGCTTCGTGGAAGCAAGGACACTCCTTCCGTCTGGGCAGGAGAGACGCGTGTCCCCAGGCTCGCCTGTGCCCGCGACAGCACTGGCCGTGGGCGGGTGACGTGGGTGCGGCTGGTCTGAAGCCTTTCGGTTTCTCTGCCTCACGGAAGGGGGGCACGGTCCTCAGGAGAGGGGTAGAATAAGTTGCTGCAGGTAGGAGGGCAAAGAAAATGGTAAAAGAGAAAAAAGCCTCTCAGAGAGGGGGGGCATTTACCAGAGAACTTAGTGGGACTGGCCGGTGGGCAGTGTTGCCATTTCACATTTTTTGCCCAAAGTGGGACCAGTTCGCAGGCTCCGCCCTGGTGTGGTGGTGGTTTCTTCCATTCTGGAGGCAAGTTTAGCTGCTCGTGTTTAGGGGCAGAGGAAGCCCGACGGGCTGGTCACTACCCAGCGACGGCGAGGACGGGCCTTCAGTCCACGAGCGTCCCCGGCTGTCGCAGGACGTTGGCTGGGGTTCCCTGAGGGAAGCTGGAGCAGCAGCCTGGAGTCGGGGTGATG